CATTAAAATAATTTGTTTCATGTGGACTGTAAATTTCTTTGTGGTTGAACTCGATACTGCTCCAACTTGTTCGACACATACAGAAATATTTTCAAGATGAAGCAAAGTTAAATTTGACACTGTTGCCATTAGCTAAGAAGATTAAGTATAAGGAAGTTATCATCCAAAAATCATTGAAAAATGTTTCTTTAATAGTTGAGTAAAACTTGTGTCCTTAACATTTTTGTCCTGCATTACTCTTACTTTTATAATTTTAGTAGTTTTAAAAATCGTACTTTTACACTCTTACTTCAGTAGAAAGCTTTAGTTGATTTCTACAAAACTGTAGGATGTATACTTCTACTTGAGTAATAAACATGAATACTTTTGACACCTCTGCTGTGCAGTCACTGTAAAACCCAAGTAAACTGCCTGTGTAAATTCTAAGTCATCTGGGTCACGGCAACCAAAACAGGCAACTGGACTTTTGCTAATTTCTTTGAAGACGTTTTGACACCTATCCAGGAGTCTAAGTCAATGATGTTGTCTCACACCAGAGCAAAGTCTAGTTGGAGTTAACAGGATGGAGGACAAGCCCCTTTAACACATTTCAAATCAGATCCTTATGAAATAGCCAACTTTTGTTCTTCTGTATTGTTGGAGCCTTTTGTTGTGTCTGGGCTTTGTGATTGGTCTTTTGAATTGTAATGGGAGTGCTTATGTAACTTCTTGGCAATGAGTTCCATGACTGAATGTAAATGCTTCAAAGCTGAAACAACTATCCTCCCTTTCTATTGAGAAATGGCTTTTTTATTTTCACAAAGATGGCCTTCTTGGCGCCTCTTTCAAACCATTAGTTAAAAAGTCCAACAAACCAGATAAAATGTTTTTTTTGTGCTTTATTTGTTATCAGCTTCTAAGTCCTCTTTACTACTGAGGGGAATGCAATCAATGTGCAGCACAGTGATTGAGATGTATGGCTGTGCTACTAATGTGTAACTTGCGTAAATATGCAGTTTAAGCGTAAAAATGTCGCCACCATGTTTGACTTTTCCATGAGGCTTTTTTTTTTACCTTTTCGTATTCCTCTTCATATTTCTACCCTTCAATATTTGTTCCTCACAGCAGAAATACGGCGCTGTCCCTTCTGCGCTAATTATTATTATAATAATTAAAGTTCGAATGAAGAGTGGCTAACTGCACAAGCTGCACAATGAGAAAAAGAAAAATGATAGACTACTCACAGTGAAAGCAGTTCCTCCAGGAGCCGAGGCTTGAGCTGTCACTCAGCACTCGCCCGTCTGCGGAAAACAACAAGAATGTGTCATTCAAGTATGACAACAACTCTAAGAGGGCTTGCAGCTGAACAACAGGTGTTCTAGCTTGTTAATATCAAACAGCTTTGTAATGTACTCTGTTCTTAATGCTAAGGAATTGTAAAATGGAGCTCTATGTGAGAAAAGAACAAGGACATTAGCTGCTTTTGAAACAACTGGAATAAACTCTCATATAAATGTTTAAATGCATACAACATATTAAAGACATATCTAACTTTATCAGTGTTTCTTTCTTTTTGTTTTATTTATCTGTTGCAGCACATCATGCATTACTTTCAGTATTACATACTGAAGTTAGAGAAGAGCGTAATGATTACAGAAAATAAAAGTCAGAATTATATCTGTAGCGCAATATATGAAAAAAGTCAACAACTAGTGAGATAAAATATCAAATATGAATATTTCATTGTTATTAAATAACTGTTTTTCCCTCCCACTATCACTGTCCTCACCCAGCCAGCATATGAAGGCTTTGGCCACCAGAGCGGTGTTCCTCAGGTCCCACACATAAGGGTACAGGTCATACAGCACAGCCCTGTTTGCTCCTCCCACTACGCTGCAGTGTAGCTGAGCTATGTCTTCACATAGAGATAAGAATCTGGAGGCTCTCCCACGCCACTCGTCAACCTGAGGACACCAGGGAAAACACAGTGATGCTCATCTGTGATGTTCTTTCGTTTATAACTACTGAGAAAGGAAATGTCATGAATCACCTTCTGAGGTTGTGGCTTCTTGCTGTTTGCACCAACTAGGTGGCAGTTTGACTTTAGCCAGGTTAGGTCTTGCAGGAGTTTCTGGGCTGAGGGACCATGCTCATGGGGGAGATAATGAAGACCAACGAGCAGCCGCACCTGGGCCTCACTTAGTAACCCCTTTCCATTGCAGAGTCCACGACCCTGTGTCCGCTGTTCCCGCTGTGCCCGGCCCCCACCAAAAGGTGCTGCCGACTTTGATCCTGCAAGAGGTTGACCTTGTTGCTGTGAACGTTTTTTCTCTCCTTCTCGTCCCTCTTTATCTGCTTTACTCAAAGGTGGGGATGAGGGTGGAGAGCTGGAATCAAGTGGGAAGACTGGAAGTTTTGGCACCGCGTGGGTGGCTCTGAAGGTGGAAGGACAGTCAGACCTGTCAGGTGTTTTGGAACGCGATGATGAGACAGAGGCACGGTGGTCTGCTTTTGAGTCCTGCCGACCTGAAATATTGATTCAAACATAGTTCTGTGGTGACTTTAAGTGGCGCTACTGGATACCCACTAAAATCAGGGGATGCAATATATAAAAGTAACGGTGATCTAAAGACCCACCTAGTTCTTTTGTTTGTACAGTCTTACCTGCTTGCAGAGGCTGGTTAAGTTCTTCCATCCAGTCATGAAGTGCAGCAGTTAATGCTCTCTCAGGACAGTAGTTATATTCCTCTCCTGAAATATATAACTTTAGTTAAATTGCTTGAAATTAAGGCTAGAGGATCATCACTTTAAAAATTTGGAGAATATTTGATGCAACTAATCATGCAGTTCTTCTTCACCAGCTTCAACATTGCTTGGATCTAAAAGGTACTTATATCAAATTGGCATATTTGAAATAACTAGTAGTTTTTTTCTGTTTCTAATTGCTGTTCTGAAGCCATTAAAATGTATGTTGTTTGTTGTCTCCACTCGTTTCAGTGATATTTCCTTTCACAAAAACCATCTGAGCCTCCCAAACACAAAAGGAATGTTACTTCTTCCACCACCTTTCCATCACTACATAGAGGAGAACCTTAACCCCCTCAATGCTTTTCAGCTGCTTCTGTTTTTTTTTTTTTTTTTTTTATTCTTCTTCTATTCCCTATTTGTCTCCTAATCCTCATGTGTGTTTTCCCTGACATCTCCTGGATTTTGGTTTTCTGCTTTTTTTTGCTTTTGGACTTCAGCTTCAGTTGCCACCTTTGCTTATTAACTCTAGAAGTAACCACCTCAGCTTCTGTATCATCATTTCAGTCCTCTAAAACCTCCACACAACCTGACACAACAGCTATTTATTGACATTGCTTTGTTTGATTTGACTATAAATATTTTGTTTGTTTAAAATTGAGATGTGTGTGTAACATTTTCTTATCAAGTCATTTTGTTCTTATAACTTGAGGAAGAAAACACAATATGATATAAAAATACTGTGTAAATTGCAAAAATGAGATATGAAGGACTACTTAAAATGTGTTATTCAATCTCTATAGAATAAATAATTAGTAATAATGTATGATAGTGGAACACATTAAGACTATAAAAAGCTACTTTAAATGTTGCAACTACAGAAAATATGTTCTGAATACTGTTAATACTATTTCATAAAGAATAAGTAGGACATTCCAGAAACAGAACTAGTTTGTCTGAAAATCAGGAATAAAAATAAGTTTAGTCTGTTGGTCAAAATGCCTGATTGAATTGCTTAAACAGACCGATTAAACAGAAGGGCATTTTGTTACCTTGTGCATCATCCTTTTCAGCTCTGTACCAGCTGCCCAGAGTATGCAGTGGGATGTAATTGGCTTCAAATTCACAGTTGGGATTGAGCAGCAGACCCCTCAGGTGGCTTCTAATGTGAGGGTCACGGCCCTTGAAAGGCCCCAGAAAGAGACGTCGGGTATCATAGTCATTAGCGTGCAGGTTGTCCCATATCAGTGGGGGGCGCTGTAGGACTGACTCCAACTCAGCAAGGCAGTCTAAGGACAATTTCCTGGAAATTACTTTGCTACCTGTGAGAAAGATAAATGGAAAGGCTGTCATTTTGATGATAGACTAATTTCTGAGGTCTTTAAACTATTATTTGCACATCTAAAAGATATTATTAGCAGGTTAAGATTGACATCTGAGAAGACCAGTTCTCTGATGTTCTTCAATTAAATTCAGTACAATTCAGTTTATTTATATGGACCCAATTAACAACACATGTCATCTCAAGGCACTTTACAGATAAAAATACAGTCAGATTGGTTTAAAGTTAAGCAAGCAAAACCAGTTGATTGCATCCAGTCACTGACTTGCAAAAAATGCTCCTCCTGAATGAGCTTGCAGCGATGATTTTTGCTTGATCTTTGCCCCAAATAGGATGGTTCCTCTGATCCACCAAACAGTTTGACATTTGAATTTAGCTATAACCCACTATGGTGGTTCAAAGTCATAAACACCATGTAGTAGAAAAGTATCCTTAGGGTGTATTAGTACATGAAGGCCCTGGCACACCTTGACTTACATACAAAAAATCTGGCAAAAATGCTGGCATATATTGTATAAGTTATCGGTGAATTTTGTATAAGATGCTCCCACACAGAAGCACGCTAGAGCACACTGAAAAATGCTGGCACAAGTCAACATATGGAAGGTATGAATACTCAAAATTTTCTGACGTATGCCATACGTGGAGCATAAGTTACAGGTAAGTTATTTGATCATAGACATACGCTACATATGTTACTCATAAGTCATGGCGTCTAGCTTATCCAAAACCTATGAGTAACTTGTGAATAACTTATGTGTAACTTGTTAAGAACTTATCGCCAACGCATATCAACGTTTCTCACATGTTTTAGATGACCACTGAACATGTTTCTAACTTATAGCTACTGTTTAATGGCGTTTTGGTATGAAAAGGAGTTCACAGGAGGAAACCGTCAGTACTCCTCCAGACTTGATCCCCATCATAGGGTGAGCCAGAAGGTGAGTGTGATGGTTCCTTGCTGTGTTCACGCCCACGGCCATGACCAACAAACTTCCTAGCAGACATGATGCTGAATCTGCTGCCACTGTAAAACTTCTTTATTTCTTTCTTTCTTTTTTCTTTCTTTTTTCTTTTTTTTTATTTATTCTTTTTTTTTGGGCAGGTGGTAAACAGCAGCTAGGTTAATACTGGGATCAAAGAAATCCCCTCACGAGCAGCGATTTAATTGATACTACGTAATGTCCACGAAATGATGCTTGTGCATCATTTCATGGGCATTACGCTGCAGTGCATTATGCATAAGTTAGGCTGTTGTTAAACATAAGTTCTGGAGTCATTATGAATACACTATGCATACAGTCTAAATTGAGAAAATACATAGAAAGTTCAGGCTATGCCAGTGTTTTAGGAGATTCTGAGACGTCAGGCATATGCTGGCTAAATCGGCAAGGTAGGACAGGGCCCTAACTAAACGTGCATTGGGTTGGAAAATAACCCAAACAAGGTTGCTTTATATATTAGATATTTTAGAGTCTATAGCATAGGTATAAAGTTTTTAAATAAATCTGTTTTGGGAGAAAGTTGTTTCCTCGTGAAAGAGGGCAGATGCCCACATAGGCAAAGGAATGGCAAGTTTATTAGTATAGCACAATTTAGTACAAGGACAATTGTTTCAGTACAAGGACAACTGTTTAATTCAAAGTGAATTAATTCAAAGTGAACAATAAAAGTAGAAAAAAAGCAAATCAGGATCAAATCAGCTAGTAAAACAAACAAAAAAAAAGCTAGACAAAAACATTAAACTAATAATAATACTTCAGCATATAGTTTAAGTTCAACAGCCAAAGGAAATTCTAAACAATTGTTTTTTTTTTTTTTACTTTTACTTAAAAAGACCCAAGCTTTGAGGACTTTTACAGTCATCTGGAAGTTTTTTTCCGGATAAGTGGAGCATAGAAACTAAATGCTGCTTCTCCATGTTTGGTTCAGCAGCAACTTTAAACTTTCTCCATGTTTAAAGCAGACACTTGTTTAAAGCAGACACTTTTTAAAGCAGACACACAAATGTCCTGAAGCCTACAGGAAACCAATATCTTCTATGAAATTCACACCTGGGTTTATAATCTAAAGTCAGAATCTCAGCTAACTTTGAAGATCTTAAAAGAAAATAAAAAAAACTGCTTTGGCATCTTAATAATCACATGTTCCAGGGAACAACATAAATAAAGACCTGTTAATGAGTTACCCAGATGGAAAGCATAACCTGCATGACATAACTTCCTCATGCCTTTGGCAGCAATACAACTGCCACTCCTAGCAACATTCCTAAATGCATAACAACTTTATCTGCAAGATTCCTGCAGCCTGCGTAAATAAATCAAGTCAGCAGCTGTGTTGAATATTGATAAGAGAAATCACATAGCAATTAACCTAATCTAGTTTGATACCACAACAACAAAAAACATCTGAGACAGCAAGATTACACATCTTTTTTTTTTTTTACCTGTCCATATCACTGTTATGTTAGGTAGAAGGTCTTCTCCAACTGTTTGCAGGTAGGGAGATTCAGCCACACTTGGGGAGCACAGAGAACCACAGTACTCTAACAGTGAGAAAGAAATAGAAAATAATGTTTCCTGCTGTGAAAACTCATTGGTGGTGTTTTATGTAGACTCGACCTGAACTTTACCTGTAGGGCAGAAAAGGAAGACAGGTGGCTCCCCCAAGAAGCGATAAATCTCATTAGTTACTGTGACCTGAGCATGGGCAAAGGAACTGAAGGCCTCGCTGTCAGCCTGGCACATGGAATGATCAATGTCGTCAAAGAGAATGGCATATGCCTGGCACCCTAGATCTGATACCTGGCAGAGGAAGAAACGAAAACAAGTTAGCCTCTGGCTGACTGAACAGGTAGGTGTGTTTCTAAAACTTTTAAGAAGGATAACAAGCCTGTTTCAGCTTGCGCTTTAGCAGCGTCATGTCGCAGGAAGAGGAGAAGACAATGTCCTGACCAGGAGAGAGCGCATAAACAAACCTCAGACCCCTGGACTGGGCTTCCACGATAAGAGTTTGCAACTGAGCTGTGAAGAAGAGCGGGTAAAGGAAAGGAACAATTCATAAATATGAAAGTTAAAGATATTTACACCAAACCTGGTAAATAAAATGGTAGAGAAGGACCTATGTTAAAAGAATAAGAGGACCCTTTCAGCAAATTTGAAACCTCGCCCACAGGTTGAAGTCCCGCCCACTTCCTAAACCCCCCACCTACTCCCAAACACCACCCCATGCGCACCCCACCTCCTCATACACGCACACATAAATTATTTTCATTATTACTATTATTATTCTAAATTATGCAAAGGCACATTGCTTCTTGCTTTATGTTCTCCTTGTTAATCACTGCCTCAAATGCTATAGTGATAGACAAACCTAGATCATAAAATTCTAATACATATTTAATTTTAGTTAGTGTGATATATTAACATTATCGTTTTCTTTCTTTATGTTGTACACGTAGAGCTCTAATGAAGACTGAGAATCCTTGGGTTGACTGTTACGAAGAGGTAACAAACAAACAAACTAGGCTGCCAGTTCCTTCTCCTGCTCTGTCCATTTAAGTTTAGGGTAAGACTCCCCATCTTGCCTGCTGTTGGTGGTCAGACCACCCAAACACCAGACGTCATTTATCTGTTGGTTTTAAGGCTAAATCTGGTCCGTCCATCATAGTCTTGATTTAGTTGGTGAAAATTGGGCTTTGTTCAGTCAGTCTGACTTTGTCCCACTTTAGTCCAATCAGAGACGTTGAAAAAAACCCAGTTTTCAACAGCTTTTCACCTTTCAAATTTTTAACCGAATGTAGAGGTCGTTTGGAGGTAAATCATGTCATCTTTATAAGTTGAAATTTTATTTCCAGCTTATTTTTTGCTTCGTTGGAATGGCTTGGTGATGCTGGTTTAAGCAGGCTAACTTCTGTGGGTCTGCCCAAGACTACAATGCAGCTGCACACTGCCTAGACCATTTACAATTTCCAAGGATTTTGATAGGCTAAAAAGGCCCAAAATGCATTTTCTCAAAAATCAAATGGCCAGTTTAATATTTAATGACTGTGGAGGACAACAACCGAGGAGTATTGCAAGGTTTTATTTTAGACCCTTACTGTTTTCTTTGTAAATGTTGGCCCTTGGGTAAGCTTTCAGAATACATATTAAGTTGTTTCATGTTTTACAGATTATCTACAAATGTACGTGGAAATTATGTTTAATTGTCCTACGAAACTGAAGATAAATAACTGTGATGTTTGGAAATCGCTGAGTAGCTATCATCAATCTGCTTAAAACCTTGCTGTTGTTTTCGACTCTTTCATATTTGACAAGCAAATAAGCTTAGTTATTAAATCTAGATGTGTGTTCTTACTAAAGTTATGGTTTGTTGCGTGAGTAGTGTGGTGGAAGTATAGAATGAAAACACAAACCTTCTTCTTCCGGAGAATATACTTCCCTCCAAAGAAGTCTGTGTTTCAGGTCATCTTTGGGACCGTACAGGTAGGTGTTCAACCCCCACAGCTGCATCCTGACAGAAATGTACAAATGACAATTTTTGTCTCACTGCTGTAAAATAACAAAACAAGCTTCACTAAATTGATCTAAGAGGCTGATAAACATCTGTCATTTAAATGTAATGTCAATAGAGAGGTCAGAAATGTGTTCCCTGAATATCTTCTAAACTGTGCTGTTGCTTCTGTTGACTTTATTTTACAATCATGTAAAACAATTAGGACACCCTATTACATCGATTCTCAATCTTGACCTGATTATTCACAGTAAAAGAAAGGAATTTATTAAAGGTAAAAATAAATACATATTAACCATGTTTAACTCAATAACCTTGTTAGGATTCCAGTTTGTGTGGGTTGTTTTTCCTCTTCCTACCATCAGGCAGTGGCCTGTCCTCGTTGGGCCTCCCTGCACACCTGCGGCTCGTTGGGTCATTACCAGAGGAGTACTTGAGCTGCGGACTGTCACCACCTCGACGCCAGAGTGTTTGCCAGTATTGGGTACTCTAGCCTTACTGAGATTAGCTGAGTCTAACCTTTGCCTTGTCTCTCTGAGTCTAAGCTTTGCCTTTGACTTTGTTCTCCGGTAGGATGTCCTCCTGATCCACTGGATAAGCCTGGTCCTTCTACCCCCCTTGGAAGGAATAATTTGAGTCACACTAAGCAAGGGGAAACCTTCACCAGATCTGTTCAAGTCAACTTCAGGAAAACTGGTCACAGTCCGTTCCATTGCTCTTTTGTACCCAACACAAGTCTGCCTGTCCGCCCTCCAACGTGTTCATTCATCTCAGGATTAAATCCCCCCACAAACTGGACCCAAGGAATACCAAGAATCCCCCTAAAGTGAGTCTTCTCCAGCTATTCACCAGTCTCAGTCATTTTCCCTACGGACCTTGAACTGATCTTTGTGATCTCCCCTTCAGAGTTTCCGGTTCCGGTTCACCAGACCGCTGAAGTCCCACAGAGAAAACCCTGCAAATTATCTCTCTCTCTGTTTTTGTCAACCTCTCAATAAACCTGTTAACATTTCCCCTGGCTCTGTGAGTTCTCTCACTGCTGGTGCCTCGTCAAACTTCCTCCAACTCCATCTCTCTGAGTCTTCCTCCTTGTGATAGTCTTCTCCCTGATGTCTCCATGGTTATGGTTTGTTTGACTTTTTCATGTTTTGATTTTTTTGGATTTTTGGATTTCCTTCCTCCCTGTTCAGTTGTTTGTTTATTCATCATTAAATCATCTAGAAACTCACCTCTGCCTCCCTGCCTCTACATTTGGGTCCACAAACCTCAACCAAATCCTGACAAAAACTAAAGGTTTGAAAACATTACCGGTAGTTTGTGTGTAATTGCTATTTCTACGGCCTAATGTCCTTTATTTAGTGAGTTAAGACTATTAAGTTATCTAATTTTTAAGATTCTATTTCACTGAGCAAGACTGTATAGCAAAGAAAAAAAAAACAAATAGCCAAACATTAAGTCTTAAGCAGCTACACTAATATTTTAACCAATAGTACTGGTGCATTCAGTGATAATGAAACATCTTAATAAAAACCCTTTATTGACTTTTTCAAAAAACAGTTTTTACATCCATTTTCAGTGCTTTAAAGGTTCTTGTTGTCAGTGATAATTCTGTACAAAAATATGTTTGGCAGAGAGAGGAGAAAATGACTAATAGAACAACAAAAATCCAAACAAAAACAGAACAATTGTCTATATCAAGGTGGAGTCACTGACGGAAAGCAAGTTCCTGAATTATAAAGAGAATAGAATGTATAGTAGTAGTAGAGATTAAACAAAATCTACTTTAGTGACCCTTTCATTTAACCAGCTTCTCTGTTTTTGTCTCTGTTCTGTATGTTCCTAGTCATCTCTGGCACAGAAGCGATCTTAGTCATTTCACCCTTCGGTCCCTGGGCAGATGGCATGATAGCCACCTCCACAAAGTGCCAACCTACGTACCTACAATACATACGATTACGCAAACACAGATACTGTGCCACTCACAGTATCACTCTGCCAAACCTATTAACCACTCAAGTAGCTATGTTGGCACTCCGCATTTGAGTCCCAAATGAAATGTCTCTATTATTAGATTTTGAGCCCACACTCTCAGCTGCTGGTGGAGTTTTGGAGGTTCTCAGAATGTCTTCTAAACACATGTTAATATCAATATGTAACGTTTTAATGACCTAATCCTAGCTGTTTGGTATGTGCTGCAATTTAAATTACAAAAAGAACCCATGTAACCCAAACAAATGTGTTACAGGTACTTTCTCCTAGCTCCAAATGTGGATTTAAGAGTTAATCTTTCAGGTAAGATCAGCTTGGCGTTAAGAATGAGTTGGTTCTCTTCGTGCTGCAGAATATGATGATAAATGAGAGAAGATGGAAATCCTTCACACTTCATAATGCATACATTTTCAGCATGTTTGAGGCACTGCTCACCTTATTGTTCACTTACTTTTGTTATTTCCCTTTAAAAAATTGATAACTAATTCTATTTTTCTTTTTTTTAAGTAACAATTAGTCTGTGAATTGCCAAGGGTGCTGAGTCACAAACAGCTTTTTTCTCTCTATGAGCTGGGAAAACTGCTGATGAAAAAATGTTTGGCACTCAATAGAGAGCGCCATAGTTTTTTTTTTAGCTGTGACAAATTTAATTCAAGGATAAAGATGCCCTTTTCATTCAAAAGTACACAGCATTCAGTATCTGAATACCCTGACCAATAGTTTATCTCCTTTTATTTTTTGTCCTTCCGTTATTCGCTGAAATAAAGCTACTGTCCCTTCTTTGAAATAATTTCTTCAGGAAAGTAACATTTCACTGCCTTCCATTTAATCCCAATTGACACAAAGAAAAAGATTTGGCAGTAATGGAGACATTTTGAGCAGGGCTATGGTATAAAGCCATATTTCAAAATTCCAACATCTTGCAGAACTTTGTTCTATTCATTAATTGAAAACAAAATGCTTGTCAAAGAAATTTTTTTAACTTCTTTAATTTCTTAAAAATAAAAAACCCTAAAACTTCGAGTTAGACTTAGAGCTGCAGTTGCAGTAAAATGTGGTTCTTCTAAGGTTTGATTCATGGGAGAGGGGACTATTTGAAATGAAGAGAACAATTAATCAACAGGCTTTGTTTAGCATAAAGAATGAGTGACACATCTACTCACCACTGAAAGAGAACTTTTCTCTGATTCATAGACCAGGGTCGACCATAAAAACCTGGTGGGAAAGAAAACATAAAATGAATACATTCACACTAAAATACTCTTGACATTACCTTTCCATTAGTAACCCAGACATTAGACATTAGTTATGTTAGCCGATTTTAGGCCTGAAAACTTAGACAGTATGTCAAGTCAAACCCATAACCGACTCTGTCACATCTGTTTAATCTGAGCTGGATTACAGCAGATATATGATCTACTGCTTAGTGACAAAAATGAGACAAATACAGTTCTTTTATGAGCGTTTCATGTTAACATTCCCCCCTGTAATCTTACTGATATGGGCTCAGATTCCAGTCAGAGAAGACGCTTCTACTCTAAAGGACTAGAAGAGAATTCAACTTTTATCTTCATTACACTGTCACAAGTACCAAGCAACAAAATTAACTCTGCATTTAACCTATCCCCTTAGGGAGCAGTGGACTGCTATTGTGCACCCACCCCCTGCGGTGTGGGGGTCAAGGGTCTTGCTCCAGGACCCGGAGTGGCAGTCCATGGAAGTGGGGCTTTAACTCAGAACCTCTGGGATCCAAGTCCTAACCTCTAGGCCACCACTCTGCAAAGCTATAGCTATAGACCTATAGCTACTTAAAAATGAGCCTAGGAAAAACAAGGCAGTCTACAAAGTTCTGATCTCAGTAGGAAAATATATGGGTAGAGCTAATGTGTGTCCTATTCAGAAGCCCTACAAACATGACTCACTGGATTGCTAAGGAAGAATGGACCGCAATTCCAGCAAACCTTTGTGGGAGGCTTAAAGAAGGATACCAAAATCTGTGTCCCTTGATACATTCTAACTTGATTTATATCCAAAAGACATCCTTTGAATGCACGGTAATGTTTTGAGTTATGAAAGGTATTAAAGTTTAGAATCAAGTCTATGATGGATAAGTAGGGATTTCTTAGAATTCCTTTATTTGTTGCTAAATTCAGACCACTGCATCTTCAAAATCATTTTATGGCAAGTTTTATGGCTGATTTAACTGCAGTAAAATTGAGAATTTAAAACATTAAAACACAAACAAGTTTGTTTTGTTAAGTAACTAGAAGAAAAATCTAAGTCAAAGTTCAGAGGTGAGACCTCTGCAATCTCAAATAAAAACCTTCCAAATAGAGAATGAGCACCTGAGGTTCAGCTCACTGATAACTGGCTGATGCAACTACCATGCAAAACATATAGCAAGGCAGAAATATTTGAGAACCTCCAGCGCCTTGTCCCAATATACCTTCTGTATTTGGTTTAGGCATAATTTAGCTGCATTCACACTCCATCACATTTTCTATTCTTAGAAATGAGAGCATCCCCAGTGTCCCACCCAGTTGTGTATGTTATTGAACACGTCTGGAGTGTGTGTGCATGTGTGCAAGTACAGTAAGTGGGTCAGACTATATTAAATACAGTCCAGACCCCTTTCCTCTGCATGCCTTTGGGGATTTTCTTCATTAAAGCTTCGACTTGCAGCTGTGTGACATTTCTAGAACTAAGTGCAATGCTCCCTGCTAAGCCAAGATAGTGACAATATATAGAAACCACTGTAAGGTTTGAGAAAAATAGGTTATAGGAAATACAAAAAAACAAATGTGCTAGAACAATTACCTGCTGGGTAACACTGGAAAAAAAACCAATACCTAATAACTGTTTTTGGTCACCTGTACATTAAAATCATAAACTGAATCAGATTAAATATGTTTTCTTACTGATATTTTCCACACCTTCACTAGACATCGATATACTTTAGTATATTCTGCTGCAAAATGAGTCTTATTAGGGTACCTTGAGTTTCACAGCCCCCCCCTCACCCATGCTCTCTCCATTTATCTCCTGGTCGCAATCTTTACTCACTATAGCAGCAACGTCCACCTCTCCCTCTTCGTTTTTTTGAAAGAACGTGTTTATTTTGGGAAGTTTTTTTCCGTTTTTTCCAGCAGCTCTTCTTTCCTTTTTCTGTTCTGGAATCCGCTTAAGTCCCTTTTTTTGGTATCCATCGTCACTAACACATTGTAGGTACCGGTTATGGTTTTAATCTACGCTCTTGATTACCCATAATTCCAAGTCGTATTGGAAAAAAAAAATACTCAAATACATCGCTATTTTAAGATCTTTATTGCGGTTTGAAACATATTATAGGAGTGCATTGTTTACCAACCATCTAATGAACTATACACAATTATTAACATAGTAATTAAAAGTTCCACTGTCTGCTTTGCTATTGGTGTTGTGTTTAAACGGCTCACCATCCTGTTGAAATCTGCTATATTTTGGAGTATAAATAAGGTCTGGTCAGGCAACCTATGGGTTTAAGAGGAATTTTTTGCACCATTACATCTGCAAAGAGACGTCCTAGTCTACAATTGCTTGAGGGCCTACCAGTAGTCAGTGACGGGGCCCCTAAGAGCTCTGGGGTCTCTGCTACAGATAGTTACACCATTGCCTACAGACCTCTGGCATTTGTCAGTGATACTGCACTAAAAAAAATGCAACCGTTTTTGGCATTTACTTAATCATGTTTAGTTACTTTAACACAATTGTTTCATGTCAGCAGGGTGGGACATAAAACATTTGTGTTAAAGTAACTAAAAATGACTCAGTTAATGCCAAAAATTGTTGCATTATTTTTTGTCAGTGTGGCATTCAGCTTATTCAACCTATAAGGGGTATAATATATGGGGTGAAAAATATTAAATTGAATTTGCATGTGATTTGTTGACATTAATATTGTTTGAGATGAGTTTAGTAATTTGCCCCAGCTTTTATTAGTTTTGCTTTTTATCAGCACATCTGTTTTTATCAATAGCAAGGTTAAACAGATGGATATTTTAAACATTTTAAATAATCTGGTCTTCAGATCTCTACTTTAGGCTTGGCTGATGCCCACAACATCATCATTTGCCAAAGACCTTTTTATCCAAGCTTATTTTTCCTTTATTAATATATAAACACTTACACGCCCATCTTACAGCAGCTGCAAACGCTCGGTTTAATTAAAGGCAACGTCACTATCATTTCCATCCTGAATAAAACGTGCAGAAAAAAAACACACTAAAATCAAATGTTATTATAGTAGGTGATTGATGAAGTCGGCCGCTCTCACCTTCCACCACCCCACAAAGGAACTGCTTCCCCTCCTCCATCCTTTCAGCACCGCTGCCTCCCTCCGCTTCCTGTCGTCCTCTAATGGCCGAGAAAAGATGTTTTTTTTCTCCCCGTTGATCGGCTCAGATTCCGGGAATATTCTTCATGCTTGCTTTCGATATGCATCCACTTCTTCCTGTTCCTCTGTTTCCTCTCATCCTGGTCCTCCTCTCTCCACCAGCGGAGGATGCTGTGCTGCGTTCAGGTGCTCACGGAAGCTTTAACGCACTGAGGAGATTTCGGGCAATCACGCGTTTTTCTAAAAATAACCTCACCTGTTTGGAAATATTATTTTTATTTGTTGGAATTATAATACTTTATACTGTTATGGAGGGTTAAAAGATGGAAATAAAAGCGCATTTGATTTGTGTGCTTGGTAGAGCTAAGCTCATTGTGACCTGGTCCATGTAGAAAAAAAATAAAATAAATCAATAAAAAATAAGAAAAGGAAATAACATCATACCAAATATAACTTGCCTCCAAAATACAATGAAATCATAAGAAGTTATTAGCACCATATGAAAGCAGGAAAAAAAGAGGGGGTACCTCCTGGTATTCAAATAATATTGTGGTTCGTCTAAATGTCAATAGAGTCAAATATAGGTACAAGAGGCAATTTCACACAAATAACAATAACTTCCTCTTTTTTTATATTGTTTGACTTATTTATTCTCTACATTTCAATTAAAATGTGCACAAAATGTGTTGCAGAGGCGTAGACAGAAATTTTAATAGGGGTGGCCAACCTCAGGGTCAATCTACACTGGAACGAGCACAGCATTCGTTCTAAATATGACAAACTAT